TGGGTTCCACTAGGATCCGAGTCCAGGATAACCTATGCAATTCCTCTGAGAGTATGGAAAATGTCAACCAAGTGAATTAAGACAGAGGGTTATGGTGGTTTTTCTAAAATAAGAGGTCCATGGTGGTTTTTCTAAAATAAGAGGTCCTTTGGGTTAAAAGGTCCAGCCTAAGAACTGTCAGAATAGATCTACTAATTAATTTCTTCTAATCTTTTAGGCTTATTTAAGCTTAACAACTTCCTTTCCCTACCCAATTTCTAAATTTTTTTCACTCAATTAAAAACTTCAAAGGATTATAGCAACATGTAAGTGAGAAGCACAGTAAGATTTGTTCAAGCTGGTCGCTGATGTAGAGGTATTTGTCATATCTCTTTATATTTTTCTRTATTGTTTAAAATATCTTATAATCAAAAAATAAAGAGACATGATGCTTCGATGGTACCAGACACTGTGAACAATTGAACAACAATTGAATATAGTTACTGGTAGAGTTGACCAGTTTCAGAATAGAATTCCTAATCCCTACCATCCCCACAATTTCATCCCCGAGAAAATAAAGCAGAACTGAAACCAACAGTCACGATGGCAGCTAGTCTTTAAACTTAAATTTACACTACTTTATTTCCTCTTCTTAAAAGAATGTCTAAAGCCCTGATGTTGGTTCAACACATCTCCAACTAAAGAGGTAAAACTGCAATTATATACTGTAGGAACATTTGGAAAAGCCTACCATGCCAAGTGAAAGAAAAGGAAAGACACAAGTGGCTTTGCTTCACCAAACAGGGCGATTCAAGAGGCTTGTTTGAATGCTAAATTGTTGAGAAGGAAAAACCCTGACACCTAGTGCCCAGATGAAAAAATGAAGCCTCTGAGCCACCACAGTTCTTAAGTGTGGTAGTGTGTAATGCCGAGGGAACCATCAAATTGCATTCAATTTGGAATATACTTTCCTCCCAGAAAAATTTTCTGAAAAAAATTTTTATGCCCCATGAGAGTTCCAATCTCTGACTACCAGTCCTTTTTTGGAAATATATACTGTACCAATTATTATAACTGCTTCTAAACACTACGTTTTCTCATCTCAGTTTTTCATTATGACAGAAGTGATAGGAGGGAATGATAAAAAGCCCACTTTCTGAAATGGTAAGGAAAACAGGGACCTAATTTCTACAAGCACTAAAATACTATCAAATCTACCTCTCTATCATATCTCTATCATATCTTTCATCATTGCCTGATTTAGATTCCTTATATAGTTCACAGAGCTGCTACACAAATATAAAATAACAAAGTGCTAATAATTTACTTCAGAATAAATAAGAATGCAAACTCAAAAAAGAATTTTCTTTATCTCACCAGGCAAAGTTAAGTTGTTCTCTGTCAAGTTMGTTACAGCCCTTGGCTTGATCTCAGCCTGAGCTTTTTAATAACAGGATTTAGTKCGAAGAGCAGCTACACTGGATTGCGAACTGTTACTCAAAATGTTCCCACCTACAATTATAGCTTCCACCAAATGATCAAAACAGGTTAGCAAACTGGCAGGAAAATGAAAACAATTCCTCCGAAATAGAGAAGCAGTAACRTAGAATTGTTGGATAGCTACATTTTTTTTCTGAATCCAGGCTCAACAACACACATTCATCTATAAATAGTGCTATCACTATACATCAATAGCAGGTAGAAACAAAATCAGTTTAGTCTACATTGCAGTCACATTTTCCTCTTTAAACTATTATGAAAATTCTGGCAACTCATCTATAGAACTCTAATTTAATAGATTTGGTTGAAATTTTTTTTTTATTCCTATCCCAAATTCATACTAAATGTAATGCCATTCAAATCTGGCAATGAGAAAGATGTGTTCTCCTGTGTATTTTGTCATGCATTAGGCGGCATTCCTTTAGTCACATCTTACTTTATGGGGAAAGAAGTACTAGGAAAATAGAAAGAAAGCTAACATGAGATCGGAAAAGCTCTCTTTCTCCTGCTTCTAACACAGACTCCAATGTTCAAAATGCAGGTCACATCTCTGYTGAAATAGCCAATATTCTTCCTCAAATGGCAAACAAGTTACCTAAAACTAAATGGAACTGAATTGGTCCAAATCCTGGTCCCATCACCATTTCACCTATTTACTGTCCTGGAACAAAAAATAGGGAAGAAAGACAGGCCACCAACATAGCCGACAGTCTAATAAGTGCAAGTTTCTGCCTTTGGTTGTGGGGGAAAGCATTGCAATTCATGGAGAAACTCTGCAAGAATCTCTTGTTTTACCCTTATTCCTTATATCCATGCACTAGCTTTTAAACTCAGAAACTCCCATCCTTCAAGGTAATACAATACCACCCACAGTGATGACCTGGTAGAGCCATCACCTTTGGAGAACACCACATTATCATGATTTAATGTCTATGTAGCATCAATGCATTTACATTGAGCCTTGGCTCTCAGAACATTAACAGGTCAATTTTTTATTCCTTTTTTAATAAAACTATTTCTCAAGGCTCTGTTCAGATGCCCATTCTCTTTGGGACAGGACAGATTTGCTCCAAATCTCATCAGCATGAGCTCTTTTCGTTCCCCTCACATCATTCTTGGGGTAATATGTAGAGTGCCAGACTCATGACAAACTTGTCTCTTTGGCCAAAGAAAATTAAACTGCAATGGCTGAAAGTCAACGTGCCTTGATAAAACTGRGCTCAGTATGAGGAAATACATCCTATTGACACCTCGTCATTTCTTAGGCACAGCTGTCCCTCAGAGTTCTGACTGTTGAAACTCCATCCTTAGATTGRTCAGTCTCTCAGTGGACAAGCTCCATTGTATGCTCAAGCTATTGGTAGCAGAGTCTGATACTAATACCCTAACCTCATTCCTGTCGTGCAGTGCCCTATAATCTAGCTAAGGCCACTGACTTCACCAGCCATCCTGGGCATTAGTCACTAACTGCTTACAAAAGAACACCAGTCTTACTCCTCCTGAGCTCAAAGGCTCAGAAACAGCAAGCTAACACTCAGCCTCAATCCTAGTCAATCATTTGAAGAAAAGGAAAAGAGAACAAAGAAAATAGGCAACTAAGGAGAGAAAGTATAAAATAAGAAGAAAGTGAGAGCMRAMAAAAAAAAAAAAAAAAAGCAAAACAACATTTGAACAAACATTATTAAAGCACTGGGCAAAGGAAAGAAAGTGACGGCTATACTAGATTAATACTTACAGCCATAGTACCATGTAGCTGTTTAAGGCATAGGCAGCCCTTTAACATCAAGGTTTGTTAGGTCTTAAAAGGGTTAAAAAAACCTTTAATTTTTTTTTATTCGTGTGTGTGTGTGTGTGTGTGTGTGTGTGTGTGCGTGTGTATGTGTGGGTGTGTGTGTGTGTGGTCTTTGGGTACAGAGTCCCGTATAATAAGACTATTTGTATTCATACTGGCAGAGTAAACACTACATGTTCATGCCCAGGCAGCTCTGTGCTTGTAATTTCAGCAAGAACAGAGCTCTGTCCCTCTGGGACTTCACTATTCCCCCAGTCTCCATTCGCTCAAACACAGAATGAGAGCAGAGAGAAAGCAGGAGAGAAAGATCATGGCAAGAGGTTTCACATAGCACTGCAGCTAGCTTTCACGTGGCCAAAAATCTCATTTTGTGTTTTAATTACATTAGTTAAAACCGTTTTGCTTTCAGCCCCATGTTCACAAGGGTGCCTTCCATTCCTGAACAGCGATTCAGTGAATTGGAATTTACGTCTGGCACAATGAAGCTTTTCTTTGCTGCTGAAAGGCTCACTGGGCAGATGCTACACATAGTGGCACAAATCTCTGCTTCAACTTTGTGTGTTGATGAGTATATATCTATTCTTATCAAAATTCTATGCATCCTCTCTCCCCATCCTCTTGCCTTTGCTATTTGTCGAGGTACTAGATCAGTAGAACTCCTAAAAGCCTAATATTCTGCATCTGGTCTAATACTTAACACTAAATCATCTGATCTTGGCTATTCCTAGTGTACTACTGAAAGAATCAAACACTTTGTAAATAGAGGGCAAAAAAATTTTAAAGATTCTGAATAAAATGGAAAAAAAAGGTCTGCATATTATCTCCACTGGTCTACCCAGTCTGTCTATGGCAGACACCCAGGTAAAGTGTACTCTTTCTAAGGAATGAGACTTATCTATGAATTATATCTAAAGCTGAAATAAAAATATCTCCATTTTTATGTTTGTTACTATTTTTATAATTGCTACAACTGTGCTTTAGAAGCATAGTTAAAACTGGAGGAATATCAACACATAGAGAAAGGCATAAAGGTATAAGGCAGAATATGACTTTACATCATTATTAAAATGTCACTATACAAGAAAGGAAGCCAAGGCTAGAAAATACATCTTAGATTAACTATCAATAAATGGGTTCTATGTTTCTTTTACGTTTAAATCCCTGGTTCTGACCAAGCCCCTTTAAGAACAACATATTCGTTATGCTCATAACAGCACAAGACCAAATAAGCTGAGCATGGAAAAAAATGCATAATTATTATGCAAATAAGTAAAAAATAAGGCAAAACAATATTTAAATGTTTTTGTTWCAAAACAAACTCAAAATACAAATATATATAAAGGGAAAGTAGTCTCTTTTTATGTACCTATCACCTAATTTCAATAATCAACTCGTGACCAATCTTATTTCATCTATACTCCCACCTGCATCTCTCTTCATTTTAAATCAAATCCTGGACATCAGATCACTTCACCGGTAAATACTTTAGCATGTATGTCTAGCAGGAAGTAATACTCTTTTTAAAAAAGCAAAATTGTAATAATGTTATCATACCCAATAATTTAATAATTCCTTGACATCTATCTAGTGTTCTCTTGCTAAAAAAACCATACCAGGACAACTAGGTTGCCTACATCGGTTGGATCTTAATACCATATAATGATCACTCCCATGGAAAGCTGGTACTGGTGGGCACAGATATAGAAAAGGAGAGGTTTCAAMTACTTGCCTCATTTCCTCCTGGAAGCCTGTTCATGTGGACCAGCTGACCTTGATCATCCAACACCAGTTCAGTATACGTCAGCATGTCAGAAGGCAGAGGAGGTGAAGGGAGGAATGCTTGAGTGGACATGGACTCCCAGAGTTTGATCAGGGACTGGTAGAGGAGAGAAGTTTGACAATAATAACATTAACCTTTCAATAGTGACAAAAATAATTATTAAGATGTCATCAATCTGGTTTCATTTTCTTTTCCAAGTGTTTTTCAGAGACTCTAACCATCAGACTAAACCTTCCAGCTCCCATTCTCAGTCAATATAGATTTATATAATTGTTTTTTACATAATACTTTTTACATGCCAAAAGTCAGGAACTTTTCAACAAATTCAAACTATTGAGCAAATCTGAATCAGTAGTAAGGCATTAATACACATAAAAGACCTGACACTACCCAGGAAAATTAAAATAAAAACTAAGTTGCATTGCTACCTTTAAAAAAAGGTGGGGGAAGAATCCTAGAGAAACCTGGTAATAGAAGACTATCCATGAAAGCAGGACATGATGCTCAGCTAATACGAACAAAATCCAGGGAGGTCAGAGTAAGGTTTCCACTAGAGGTTCAGTAGAAACCTCTTTATAATATTTTTCATAGCTACAGGTCCCTATACAGGAATTAGCTCACTAAGACATGCATGGCTTTTTGTAAGTGTACAGATCAACAGTGCTCAAATTTGAGAAAACAAACACAATTATCTCTTTAAAAACAATTATGATTTTAATTTCCATCTTCCTATACAAATAAAACAAATCCTTTATGAAGTGAGAACCAGGTTAGTTCTTTCTTTGCTTGCCTCAAAGCAATAACTAAGGCCCAAATGACTCATATATACCTACATGTCCTAATCATTATGCTGATGTCTATCATATAGGAAAAATTACACAGAATAAGATTTCTATTTATAGCACTGATGTTGGGAAACAGAACGAACACTCAGCTTTCAGGCCAACAATGCTACAAAAGGAAAATAATGAGCGAAGGTAGCTATGTTTCAAGAGATGGGGCTTGTACACAAATGATTGCATAAAGGTAATCTCTTGTACTTGTGAATGATACAGGAATTAGAGACAAACTATTTACCAAGTCTACATATATTACTTTGTTAAAACTCAAATGTGGTGATACTGGTAGTATTGACTAGGAGACTTGGAAAAATCCTATATTCATAGAATTTTTTTTTTAAAGACAAATTCAGTATTCTTTGGAAACCCTATTCTTTATCTGTTGCATTTTCTGCTGGTGATATACTTTTCTTGCCTTCTATTGATGGAAGAAAAATCTGCAGCATAGAAGTGATTCACCATACAGATCAAGGGAATTTATTTTCATATAGAGGAAGAAATTCATAATGTCATATTTTCTCATGCTAGTTTTTATTCAGCTATAATAAATCTCCCACAAAAGAACTTATAAACTGTGTACCATGAACTCTATATCCACTTGTCTATGCTATCTATATTGATTCTCATCATATTAGCTTAGGCTATCAGCTAGGGACCGGAGTTATCCTGGAAAATAGGAAAATGAGAACTAGAGTTCCATACCTCTTTTTTAATATCCCTAATTTGAACACAGACTTAGGAAATACATATGTAACTTCTCACACAGGTCACTGTAAACTATCATCACAGTCCTGTGGTCTTGGTTCACTCTCTTCTATCCAAGAGAGACTTCTATTCACATCATTCTTCCTGTTAATTCATAAAGAATCATCCAAAATCTGAGTTGGCAGTCACTGAATTTCAAATGAGATAGAAATGAGAAGTGTCAAGATATTTCCTGCTCTTTGAGAGTGTTCTTTTCCAGTCAAAGTTGCATCTGATGGAAATTCAGGAAAACCTTGCCTTTTGGTACATGTCATAAACCCTCCCCTTTAGCCACCTTTACCTGCCGAAACATCTCTGGGATATCATAAATATATGTTGTTCCTAAGGACTGAGCCTGAAAYCTCTTTGATTGAAGCAGGTCTTTGGTCACATATGGAGTATTGATTAACATTCCATGCAGTGGTCCCTGTTTGTCTCCATATGCCTGAAACATGATCTGCAAGAAAAAACAGAATGGCATCRCAGGTTAAAAGACAGAGGGAAAAGAAAAAAAGAAATCAAATAGCTGCCTAAAAGGTTTTTTTCCCACAAATATTATTTCTTGAAAAACATTTTTGGTGGGCTGAGTACCTGAGACATGTCTCTTAACATTGGGTACTTGGTGTTCCCACTTCTCTACAGGTTAACTAACTCCAAAAAAGTTAATATATAATATGCTACTACTCTTGTTTTTGGATTATTTGAAATCAATAAGAAAACACAGCATAAATTTCATATCTCAGAGACAGACTGATKAAGCTTGCCTTCTGAAGTGATTTGAATCCCATATGCTCAGAAATGAAGTAATTAGTAAGTAGTCTGAGCAATTCTAGTATTTAAGTTGAAAAGCAGCTATGCACTGAAGATAATTCTTATTATTAAGCCAGATCAAGGTTCTACCAATTCATTGTACTTTAGTCCATTTGATTAGAAGGTGCTTCATAAGTACTATTGGCCACACAAAAGCTTCAAAGATTTCTGCCAGAAGTGGATTTCACCCATCTAGATAGTTAATTCTTGTTAGCTCATATAATAAAATAACTATTTTAAACTATATATATAATTTCTCCCTAGTATACTGTCTATAACTAGTAACTCTTACAATACCTGTATTGTCACATAATGAAAACACCACAGCAGTTTTTAATCATTTTAACTCAAATATTTCTAGAAGAGTACTCCATACTCTMTATTTAGCTAGTTTTATTTGCTTATGAATATTTATAAGGGATGTCATTATTTCAATTCAATTAATATTTATTGAGTGCTCATAGACTGTATAACACTGAACTAGGCACTTTATGTATGAATTTGTACATAATATAGATTCCCAATCTAATGAATACCAATGGAGACTGAGATGAAAGGGTATGTATACACCCACATATGCATCGGGGCCTTAAGGAAGAGCACAAGTCTACTAATGAATAATTTGTGGACCTGATATACACGCATAGGAATGGAATTAAGTACTTTCTAAAACCCTAGGGATAATGATTCCATAGTCCCTTACGTCAGAGGAACAGGAATGCTCTGCTGACTTGTCCATTAGGTCCTGTTTTGGGCAAAACTTGTCTCAGGGTGCTTAAAGCTCTCAGACAAGCTCCCAGTCCTTTTCCAAAAATTGATGGGAAAAGTCACCATGTGAGAAAAAGAATTAATAATGTCTTAGGAATTTAAGAGTAGAAATAGGAAAATTTTAAGAGATTCAAACTTAAGTAAGGCAAGAATACAGAATGAGACTAGATTCAGAGGCAGTCAGTCAAATCAAAATAAGAAAAAGGAATTTTTGTAATTAAATTTCTTGTCTATTAAGAGAGACAAGACCTCAGGATTTGAAACTCAGCTTTTTCCATGTTCTGGGATAAAGTTAGATTGGCCACAGGTAAGCAACAGAACTTTGCACTGAGGAAGAGAGCTAGAGAAAGCTACTGCTACAAATTAAAAATGGTAAAACCACTTTGGTTTACCACATTAACTTACTATGAATAGCAATTATACTCATATATTTACCTAAGAGAAAGTTACACAAAAATTTATAAATTAATGTTCATAGCAGCTTTATTGCTTGAAGTGCATTTCATCCTTTTATAATTGGGAAATAAAACTTCATATGTCCTTCCACAGTGGAGAATAGATAAAAAAATTCTTTGTAGATCCACAAAATGGAATACTACTCAGCAATGAAAAGGAACATGCATATAATCCAGGTAACACCAATGAATCTCAAAAACATTATGCTGAGCACAAGAATCCAGACACAAAATAGCACATTTTGTCTGATTTCATTTATATGAAATTCTAGGACAGGCAAAACGAATCTATAATAATGGAAAGCAGATCAGTGGTTACCTAAGGCTGCAGTTGGTACTCTACCTTTGACTGCAAAGGATAATTAGAGAACTCTGTGAGATAAGGAAATGGTCTTTATAATGACTGTGATGGCATCACGCAAGTGTATACAACTATTGGAATGAACTGAATTGTACATAAAAAATGAGTCTGTCACATTATATGTAAATTATACCTCAATAAGGTGGTTTCAAAATGTTATTTCTTCTCTTATACAACACATTAGGAATCAATTCACTTATGCAATGGATTACCCAAATCTCTTTTCCCTATTATGACTACATGGCATCATTATTCATTACAACCTGTACCACAAAGACTATATATACAAGAGAAGTGAAACAAAATGAAACTCAAGTCAGTCAGCCTTATTTCTTAATGGAAAAATGAGTAAATGATGTGCTAGGGCCGGAGGATGATCATAATGGACAGTAATGGAAGACTCTGAATGACCAGCTACTTATGCTAGTTTCATTTTTTACTATAATGAACCTGGTAATTAAAACTTGGGAAAGAGTATGTTTTACAAGTTCACAAAAATATGTATATATTTTACATAAAATACATCTTTCACTAGAGGACATCAATGGGCTTCTCTTAGTTGGGTATGGTAGTGAATGCCTATAAACCCAGCAACTTGGGAGGTRAAGCAGAATGAACAGTTTTAAGTAAAACCCTGTTGTAAAATAAAATTAACCAGAAAAGGGCTGGRCACAGGGCGGGGTGTTGGGTGGAGGCATGGCCTGGGGATGTACCTCAGTGGTAAGGCGYCTTTGATTTTGATCCCCAGTACTGCAAATAAAAAAGAGAGAGAAACAAAAATTGAAAGGTAAAAAAATTAGTGGCCAGATGCAGTGGTGCACAACTGTAATCCAGTGGCCCGGGGGCCTGAGATAGGAGGATCACAAATTCAAAGCCAGCCTCACCAAATTAGCAAGGTCCTAAAGCAACTCAGTGAGACCCTGTCTCTAAATAAAATATAAATAAAAGTCTGGGGATATGGCTCACTGGTCAAGCACCACTGGGTTCAATCCCTGGTATCCTCCCCCCAAAAAAAAAAATCAGTAATTCCAGCTACAAGAGGCCGAGGCAGGAGGATTGCAAGTTCAAGACCAACCTGGAATAGCTAGCTTATCTATCTATCTATCTATCTATCTATCTATCTATCTATCTATCTATCTATCTATCCATCCATCCATCCATCCATCCATCCATCCATCCATCCATCCATTTTGTATTTATCTATTTAGGTGCCAGGGATTGAACACAGGGACACTTAACTACTGAACCACACCCCAGCCCTTTTTATTTTTTATTTTGAGACGGAATCTTGCTCAGTTGCTTAGGGCCTTAGTAAATTACTGAGGCTGGCCTCAAATTTGCAATCCTCCTGCCTCAGTTTCCAGAGCTGCTGGGATTATAGGCATGTACCAACAACATGTGCAGTTTCAACTTGGGCAATTTAGTAAGAATAAAAAAGGGGCTAGGATGTAGTGTAGTAGGTAGAGTATTTACCTAGCATGTGTGAGGCTCTGGGTTCAAGCCACAGTGATACAAAAGGAAAGGAAAAAGGTTTGGCAATAAGCACCAACTAGGCACTTGGGAGCATTGGAACTGGGTGAAGGCTGCTCCTTCTGTCAGTTCCTACCTCCAGCTTTGGGCTCACAAACTGGTACCAATGACACAGTGGTTCTTGAACTTTCAACTGAAGAACCTGATAAAGACCTCTTTCTTCAGGGCTTCTTAAATATGCAGGGCCCCTGATAAAAGGGATCTCCTCTCAAGTTGAGGGAGTCAATTCATTCTTTCTGATGCCTAGCAAGTGCTTACTTTGTGCCTGATATAACACCATGCCCTGATTGAAGACATCAGTACCTTTCATGATCCTGTGTTGCCACTAACCAGCTTAAGGGAAATCTAAAAGCTTTCTAATAAAATAAAGGGGGAAAAAGTAGTTATGAAGAACAAACATATTTATCAAAACATTAAAATCTCAAGTGGCCATCTTATTCTTCATAAGAATAGGCCTGCCTCAAAGCCACTGTAGAAGTTAATTAAAAATATCCCTGCCCATGGAAAGCTTTGACTGAAAATGTCCTTAAGGTTGGTCCTGAAAAACATCAAATGCAGCAAAAAAATCACTGAATACTCTTTCTCTTGCTCACCCCTTGTGCTCTTGTGCACTCTGTTTTAACTGCTCACTTCTCACAGGATAGATTTCTCTGGTCATCTAACTGGGAATCAAAGAACAACATGAAAGGTCACTATAAAAATTGTCCAAACTGAGATTTTAAAAATGCATCTTGAAAAGACTGGCAAAAAATGTCTTTTCCTACCTCTATTCCCAGTTTGAAAAGGACATAGATAAAAACAATCTCTTCCAAGCACCCAAATACACAGAACAGACTAAAGCCCTGTTTATATATCCTGTAGCAAGTTCATCCTTTTATTAGAATGAATCTACTTTCCAAGTTCAGGCCAAAGCCCTAAAAATAATGTCCTAGTTCTTAAGAAGATGTGAGCAATAGTGACGCTACCTACACCCAATATCATAGAAAATGGCCCAAATATTTAGAAACTAAGGAGTTCAAACAAATTACAAGTGAATTCTTTGTTACCACATAATCAGTCTGCATTACATTCCACTCACTTCTGCATTTTCCAATCTGAAAAAAATGGTTTAAAGTTTGATACTTTATTCCTATATAACATATAACACTCTGAACACTTGAAGGAAAAAAATGTGTGTGTGTGTGTGTGTGTGTGTGTGTGTGTGTGTGTGTATAAGCGGAATAATATAATGGATAAATAAAGTTAATACTGTTCATGTTATTTTACTAACTTGAAATTTTTCTTCTATAATATAGGAGAAGTGGGTGACATTCTCATAATTCTCCTTTCCTCAGTTGTCAATAAGTGGTCTAACTACATAGGAAACAGGAAGTTCAAATAAGACCAGAGAAGACTAGATTACTAAAGTAGCTTAAGAGCCCTTTAAAAAAACAGAGCTCTAAACTGAAGAATTATGCCTGGAGTGAGGTTCATTTGGCATATTTGTGCTCATCAATATGTGACAAAGGGTTGAGGGCTTTATAATATCCTTGACTGAGAACAGGGGCACTTCTTATAAGGCAAATATTTTCCAAATTGCACAACCAGTTAAGCTAAAGAGAATAACTCCATTGATAAACCAATGGGGTTTGTGAGCTTGGGTCTTCTATAACAAGAACAAGTGGCTCATTTGTAGGACCAAATCAAAACTCAGAGAAGCCTGCTTGACTACTGTACCTGTGCTGTCCTGGAGTCAGTCACTTCCTTGTATAGGCTGATGTCCAAGTAATAGCCAGATTCGTTTGTCAGGAAGAGGCGGATGGGAATTGCTTTTCCAGTTGGTGTCAGGCGAATGTTGATTTTCAGTTCTGCCTGGAGGACGCGCAATTTCCACAGCCGACTTCCATAGCGCATTACCATGCTCCGCACAGATTCCTCAATCTGACACAAATACATCACCAAGTACAAAACTTAAATACCTTGTAACTAAGAACCTGTTTCAGGTCTGTCCGTCTTTGGGAAAGGAGGAATGGAAAAAAGATGCTGTTTTATGGAGATCTGTACACCATATACATTCCTTACACAAAGTGGGCAGATGTTTCTCCCTAAAACTATTCTTGCTTAGAACAAGACAGGGACAATTTCATGCTGGTCTGGGATGAGAGCGGTTTTCTCTAACTCACGCCATCCAAATCAGTATAACTCCTTCCCCTTTCCCAATTATATTCGTACTCTATATCTAAGATCTGCAATATCTAAAATTAAAAGCTACAGGATTTAAGAGAAAGCCCCAAATAAGAATAAAATCCCTAGTTAAATAGCTACTAAGTAGCATTTATATGCATGGTAACTATGTTTCATTGCACTTACAGGACCTTAAATCAACATAGCAATTACCACCATGAGCTTTTTTCCATACAATTTTATTAAACTTTATAATATATGTCTCTTGCTAAATTGCAGAAATTAAAGAAAGGCAATTTGTAGGTGGTGCTAGAATGTTCTCTCCTAAACATTAGAGCTCTGAAGTTTGGTCACTGTCAAGTCCAACTGGGATTTAAGGAGAAGGGGCAAATGTTTCTTAGTTTTTCTAAACTTTAAACCAAGGCAGCTTAACACTTAGTTTTCAGAGTTACAAGAGTTATTTTAACTGAATGGACTGAAAGGCAATTTTGTTATTGACATGCTAATGCAAAACTTTGTTTCCAATAGGCAATAGGCTCTTTCCTAGCAAGCAGCTAGGCCAGACTACTCAAATTTAATCTTTTCTTAACTATCTTTCTAAAATKCTTTATCAACATCCTAGAACAGCTCAAGATTATCTCACATCTCCCTTCTCTTGTGGTACACTTAGGTAGTACGTACTATCCTACAGCTTATTTCTCTAACACAGAATTTTAACTCAAAATAGATTTTAAGAAGTTAACGTCTCATCCCCACACTTGTTTGCTAACCAAGAGATATTTATCCATTATTTTCTTTAGGGAACAAAAGCCAACAATCTCTATGTACAAAAAATTGACAGCTATCTGATTRGAAAAGCAGAGCTGGGGCATATGGATGTTAAGAGTTAGAGGCTGAAAAGTAAATATTAAAAATTCATTGAGAAAAGTCAAGCAAAATCTAAAAATATATATAGTTACACAGTATCCAGATCATGTTTTAGCATTCTGGCTTCATCAGTCCCAAAATACTTAGGGAAAATATATACATATATTAGAGGAATACATAAATATACATATATTAGGAGAAATAATAATAATAATATATATTAATATATATATATTTTCCAGTGGCTAAGTGCCCCATGGGTTCAATCTCCCCAGTGGGAGGGTGTGTGTGTGTGTGTGTGTATATACACACATACACCATGGGGCACTGAACCACTGAGCCACATCTCCAGCCCTTTTTTATTTTTAGACAGGGTCTTACTAAGTTGCTTATGGCCTCACTAAATGGCTGAGTCTAGCTTTGAACTTGCAAACTTCCTGCCTCAGGCTCCAGAGCTCCTGGGAGTTTTAGGCATGTGCCACCATGCCTGGCCTAGGAGAAATTCTGCTTAAACTACATGATGAGGTTTGAGCCCTATCGTTGGCTTTCCTAACAGAAAATAGTAACCCGTTGTTAGCTTCAARTTTTCAAGAAAAAAAGTAAAGAATTGTTTCTCAGTTCTTAGATAATAAGTTCAAAACCAAAAGTTCGGCTGGGGTTGTGGTTCAGTGGTAGAGCACTTACTTAGTATGCATGAGGCATTGGGTTGCATCCCTGGTACCACATAAAAATAAACAAATAAAATAAAGGTAAAAAAGGCAAAAGTCTATGCCTATAATTGACCTTGAGAAAGGAGATACTTGGTTATCCTAKCCAAATTTCAGTCTCATACAGAGTCAGAGGGAGCAAAATAGAGAGCAGTCTGTTTTACACACCTAGGATAAAAAGGTCAAGTACAGGACTGTCTCGTTTTCTTTCCTTAAATTATATTGAATGCATTTTAGAATAGAACCTCAGGGAAGAAACTAGACATAATATATAATACATGTGAAATTTCTTTCTTTTTTTTTGTTAGGGACACAATATCTTTATTTATTTATTTTTAAGTGGTACTGAGCATCGAACCCAGTGCCTCTCATGTGTGAGACAAGCGCTCTACCACTGAGCTACAGTCCCAGCCCCTACATGTGATATTTCTTATCAGCCAAATTCTCCTGTGGTAAACTACTAAAGAGAAATAGGTTAGCTATTTTGGGAAGGTGTCTTATCCTGGTAAGGCCACTAGGTAAGTATGTTAAAACACAGAAACAGTGCACTAAATGTCTAATAATAGCAAAATTATTTCACATGAGAAATTCTAGAAGATACTATAAAATAGAACTACTATCACGGAAAATATAAAACTTGTCCTAATGGAGGAAAAGAATTTTCATACTTTTATAAATGATCAGCAAGCAAACACCATGCCACCTTCAATACTGAGGGTTTTCTTAATGCCTATAGCAAAATTTTGCCACTGTCTTGGAAACTTGGTCTCAAGTAGTGTGTAAACTTAAAAGGCTCAAACCACTGGACAAGAACACCTGTTTCTAAGTCCAAGGAAGATATATATGAATGAATCTTTTTGCTTATGTTCGGAGTCCTGGCAGAGAAGCTATGAGAAATGTACCTTTGACGGGTCCATGATGACTGTGGGCACAAAGTTGAGGAAGATGTGGTTACAGTCTGTGCGAACATTTGTATTGTTAAAAGCAACTTCCAACTCATCCATGGCTTCCAGGAGCAAACGTTCCCCTTCATTTTGTAGATACTCAAAAGATGCTTCCTATACAGGAAGAAAATCACCATCATTAATGTGTTTTCAAAGAAACAATAAATAAATGGCTATTATAACTACTTAACAGCAGTATGTCATAAATCATAAGGCACAAGGTGAAGACATTATTTGTTTTTCTCCCTAGAGTCCATCTAGTGATCACAGGCAGCAGGGGCATGCAAAGGCCACAAAGTCCTTGCCAGCCCTTTCTCTTGCCTCTTAGTGTATCGTTTCCTTCCAACACGTGGAAATGCTGGGCACCCCCAGAGCTGTAACACCAACAGGATTATAATTCATACATGTCAAACAAATTGTTTAGAACAGAAATCTGCTTAGAAATGAGAAGCTGAAGAAAACTCATGGCTATGCAATACAATAATAACCACATACCAGGAAATCCTTGCTATATTAGACACTACCCATCCTGCTAGACAGGTTTATGGTGGGATTACTTCTTTCCTAACTCTTCTCCTTATTCTCTATTATCACTCAACTCTCCCTTTGATTTTTCTCTTAGCACACTTTTCTTTTTCTCAAGTGAGTGCTATCATGTTTCCATTACCAAGAAAAATCAGATTAAATAAAAATAAGCCTTTATTATTTGTAATATTTACTTTTCTGAATGAAATGACTCTCAGACACCTGCTGGTTATTGGAGAGTGAAAGGAAATAGAACAAGAGCCTGATTCAAACAATGAAAACATGATTTTGAACCTTTTTTATTTCTCTACCCCTTCCCTCAGGGATAACTTCCCATTGAAGTACAGCACCTACCTTGGTGACCAGATCGGAATGTCTGATGATTGCACGAACAAAGAACCTGTAATCTGTCACTTCTGTGCCAACTTCTACCTTAGCTGCCCCAAGATATAGGTGCATCTTGTGGTTAGCACATGGAATGGCAGTGAGGTCAAAATTTCTCATCCGGTTCAGCTCTAACTGGAAAGCTAGAGCAGGTTCCAGGTGACGATAGATTCGGTCCTCCTCAAACTGATCACAAGAATCAGACAAAAAATAGCTCACAAGAGGTAGTTATAAGATTATGATTACATAGGTAAAAGAGATGCTTGGAAAATAGCAATGAAGGTATGATGCACTAATAAGCAAAAGAAAATAAGCTACATATAAGATATTGCTAAGGCTACTGCTATAGCTTATGTAAGATTAGGCACTAAGGTACCCATGCACTTAACTTTTCAACATATATGCTTTTTCAAGTGGTGATGCTCCCCATTAAAAACAAAGACACTGGGCATGTTGGTCATGTATATAATCCCAGCAACTTGAGAGCCTGAGGTAGAAGGATTGAAAAYTCATGGCCAGCCTCAGCAACTTAGCAAGGCCCTAAGCAACTTAATGAGACCTTGTCTCAAAATAAAAAATAAAAAGCTGAAGATGTGGCTCAGTGGTTAAGGACTCGTATGTTCACTCCCAGGTACTAAAGAACCAAAAATGAACAAACAAAAAGTTACAAACAAGGGGCTGAGAATGTGGCTCAGGCGGTAGCGCCCTCGTCTGGCATGCGTGCGGCCTGGGTTCGATCCTCAGCACCACATACCAACAAAGATGTTGTGTTCACCGAGAACTAAAAAATAAATATTAAAAATTCTCTCTCTCTCTCTCCTCTCTCACTCTCTCTTTAAAAAAAAAAAAAGTTACAAACAAGCAAAAAATTTCAATTCCCTTGGAACTCCTATGGCATTTAATGTTATAACTCATTTTTTACCCTTAACTACAAACTGCTTCACATTAACATTTATTCACATGCTGATGTTTTAGGTTAACCCAAAAAGTCTAAAATGCTAAAGGACAGAACTTAAATCTTACCATTTATGACACACTACAAAGAACACAGTAAATGCTCAATAAATAAACATCATTTTTTCAAAAAAGGTATTTGGCTTTGGAACYTAATATATCCACAGATATATAATTATGCAACTTTTTCAAAAGTTTTATTAGTACATTTACTGTGTGTTTGCTTGAAACTAAATTGTTTTTCCAGAGTACATGTCAACTGAGTGAACAGTGAGCCAGCACCAAAAATATAAGCTGGTAACAAGAAGAAACAAACATAGTATGAACTACTATACTTTAAAATTGAAAAACAAATGCATGGGAACAAGAGTTGAACATAAGTTGTGACAAGAATAATTCTACAATGCAGTATTGTTTAATATCACATCATTAGGATTGTTTTGAAGGATAGGGATGATTTTGAAAGTTATTGTTTTCTTTGGGTAGCTCAACACATTTGATTGTTTCCTAAATCAAACTCTTTCTGAAGGGAGTGTGCTTTAGTTCTAAAACACATGTAAACAAAGAGAAACACAAGTTCAATCAGAGAAAGAATGGGAAAGATAAGAAAACAGGAAAAAAAAATTCAAAGGGTAGGAATCTAGCAATCAGTCCTTACCTTATCCCTTGCTCGGAATGTGAAAAACTTAGGGAATTCTCTCTGTTAAAGAAGTGGGTAAAATGTGTCAGTCCTTCATAGATGTGGCCCTCCAGAAACAAACAGTATAGAAGAAGCTGGGCATCTAGAACAGTTTTCCAGAAAACGTGCTCCTCATCTAAGCCTCGTCCACAGAATGTGAATGGTCCTCTGAGTAATCATCACTTTGACCTCACTTTCAAATTTGAGAATTACCACATTACGTAAGTTTAGATTTTTAAAGTATCTCCTGTCTCCAAAGTAAAAAATTTATAATGTTTTCATGTCTCAAACTAAAACTTCCTGGGTGTTTTCTTGGCAAAATCTGGCAAATAAAACCAACATTACCCTTATGCTGCAGACACTGCAATAATAGTTACTAGAATGATTTCCCAAGTTTCTCCTAAACAAACTCTTAATGCAAACTAGACAGACAGCATAGAATCTTCAGTCCGTGGTGTTTTTTCTCCCCCTACATTCATTCTCAAGTCAATAATGTCAAGAGTATAAAAAATATTTCAAGACAAAGAAAACTATTAGATACTACTTTGGACACTACCACTCTATAGGAAAGAAAGGGTAGAACTAGTGAACTTATAATCATTAGGTCTTAACGCTATTTTGCAGAGCATTACACAAGAAAGCAACCAATTTACTAGAACCTTATTAATTAACAAAGATGAATTCAATTAGTAGAGTTCATTAGTTTCTGAAATTTAACTTATTAACACCAAATACCCCTGTTTCTCGGATGGAAAGCTCTACTGGCAGTGTTGGAATCAAGTCGTTACTATTTGCCTCGATAGGAGGTTTCATTAGGCATCTTCTTCATTATGAGTGCAATATAATCAAACACTTATTGGTACAAGGCAAAGAGACCAGGACTAGCTGCCTACATATCCTTCAGTGGGCTTTAGGAGCCTTGAAGAAAAGATGTACTGAAAATCTTCTAGATGGCAGTCATTCTCATATGTTATCCCAGTGAATGTTTACAACAACCTCAAGGGAGTCTTTATGACCCCCATTTTACAGATGAGCAAGTATTGGTTTAAGTGATATGCCCAGGATCATAGAACATAAACTTGGGTCTCTCTGATGCAACAGCCATACCCTTCCACCTCTCAAGTGCAGGGCATCATTACTCTATTCTTTTATAATCCAAACGTCTCCTTAGAGGATTTAGCTTCATGAGACAACAAAACAAAACAACAGAACAACAAAAWGACCCCCTAGAAAACTCAGACTTTGTTTGGTGGAGAGGAGGCAGAAAACAAACGAACAAAGCAAAACTTGTGCTAAAAACTTGTGGTTTATGAATTTACTGAAAACTTGAATACTTTCCACAGGTATTATACTGTATCCTTACCTTGCACAGTTAATACACCTTTTCATATTTTTCTCGGTGTTTTAACTATAAAAGTGATTTTAACATACTTCTACAAGTGCATTTACTATGCCCAGGGATATCACTTGTCCAGAGTTGGGTCTTTAAAAGCCCTTTGAAGGTGGATTTTACACAGAACTGATCTTTTACTAATGACATTTTGTTCTAAATAATTCTCTGATGTTCTCCCCTCCCCCTGCCCCAGTGTCAGTGAAGCACATGGGGATAACTTCAAGGTGAAGCAGGAATACATTCAGCTGAGTTGTCAGTAGATTTCATGCTCATGGATTTATATAATCTAATTTTGGCTTTATTCTAGTGAAGTTTAGCTTTCACTGTATTACCTAGAAAGTAACACATGTCATAAAGGATGGGTAACAAAATCTTTCCATGGAACTAACTCCCTGAAAGAATAGTCATCAAGGAGAGTGACAATATAATTTTTAAGTATATATTTTTCTATTCTGCCTGAACTATTATTAGCTAATTAATTAAAATAATTTTTTAGTATATCATTTATCCAATCGTACACATTATTACATTTTCTTTCAAACACAAAACCATTTTCCTTCAGAAACAATACCAATAAAAAATGCTTTCTTTTCCACTAAACAAATTAAGAAAATTTATAGTAAATAGCAGGCACAAAAGCAAATGGTTTGAATGGAAATACTTTTATTGCAAATAATGAAAGAAAATGATTTTGGTGGAGGGTGAACTATGTGTAGGTGACAAGACTGAGCAAATTGTTAAAAAAAAAAAACAATTTCATTAAGGTTAGCTTTAAAAAAAAGACATCATGAGATGATATAAAAGCAAACTTTTTTTTTTTCAAACATGTGAGCAAATTTTTAGCTCCACAGTAAATTTAAATATTGAACATTCAAAAAGGGGGGTGGTAAGAACTTTCATGTAATGGGAAAGCAGGACTATTGAGAAATTCTTTGGGAGACCAGAAGTCTGAAGACTTTTATAGAAAGCCACTCAAAACAAAACAAAACAAMAACAACAACAACAACAACAAAACAMCACCACAGAACCACAGAAAAGAAATCTAAAAGTCTGATCCTTCATCTCACCTCATCTTCATACTGCCAATTTTTCCACTAACAGCACTCATGCTTATTCCATCACTAATGTAATTGCTTTCCAGGCATTCTACTAGTGTTATGGGCAAATATCATAATTGAATGTACACAAAGAAAAACCCTCTTAATGTTCTGGTACCAAAAACAAAAGAATGTAACATTTCTCAGGAAGAAATTATACCCCTGCTGTGTTCTAATCAGCCAACCATCATCAAGACAATCAAAATAATTTGCCTAAATTAGCCAATCAAGACACCCTGCAAATCAGAGAATGTGAAAACCTGCAACAGAAAACATCATAGCTGATTATGATACTAATAATCGTGTTAAAAACCTAATGAGATGAAGAAATTGGGAGCTTGCTGGTGCAATTCTCTTTTACCTCAACATGCTGAGAACTAATTATATAGACTGTAATTAAAACAAAAACCCATACCAAACCCTCTGAAAACTCATGGTTGGTCCACTAGCAAACAGAACTACCTTTTTGGAAAGAAAGGTTGAAAGGAAGGAAAGAAGGAAGAATAGATAGACATATACACATAAATACATGAATTATGAAACTTGACAACTGTTTGTGAGTGAGCTCGTCCCTCAAAACTTAAATAATCCAAAACATTTAATTTTAAAGTGGGAGTCACTCATAACAATCATAAAACTATAATTATTTCTTGGGAAATGCGCAAAAATTTTTAAAAATCTCATGAAATCTTACATGTAAGAAAGGAAAAAAAMCATTTTATTAACAGATGCAAAACTGCTTGATTAGAATCTTTTCACAATTTTTGGACCTGATGTTTTGATTTAAGTCGCAAAGGAAAGGAAGAAATCCTGAAAATATGCATTTTAGTCTCCTTAAAAAGCACTTTGCTGGAGCTGAGGATGTAGTTCAGTGATAGAGCACCTACCTAGCACATGTGAGGCACTGGGTTTGATCTGCAGCACCACATAAAAATAAATAAATAAAATAAAGGCACTGTGTCCAAAGCACTTTGCTAATTTATAGCCAAGCATATTCCACCATGCAGTGGTGCATGCCTATAATCCCAGCAATTGGGAGGCTGAGGCAGGAGGGCCACAAGTTCAAGGCCAGCCTGGTGATTGAGCAAGAACCTGTCTCAATATAAAAATTAAAAAAGGGATGGGGAGTGTAGCTCAGTGGTAGAGAGCCCAGGGGTTTAAAAAAAAAAATGATATCTCTTCCCCAAAACCATGATATCTCCCAAATTTGTACCCTCTGCTACACTTTTTAGAATTCCAGACCAGAAATGTGAGTGAAACTAACAGAGAGTGAGTTGGTGAATTTTAACTAATAACACTGTAGAGCTACATCTTAGACAGCTGCAGAAAATAGCTACAAAAATTCAAGGAGCCTCTTTTGCTTTGAAAGATACTTCTTTTTAATACAATAATTTATATATATATATATATATATATATATATATATATATATATATATATATATATATATATTTTTAATACTTTCTGCTTAAATATCCATTTTAAGCAGCTATGTTTTAAAGTCCCATTACGAGTATTTGATTCAATTAGGTGGTTATGGAAATGGACTGACACCGAACTTCCTTATAGTCAGTGAGCATTGCCATCTCAGAACAAGTCCCCACTTAGAGTAAAGCTAGCTAGAGTGGCTGGCTTTCTGGGGACTATGGTGACTATACAGTACTGGAAATGCTTAGAGACRGCACTGATATCTGAATAAACACCTCAAAATATACACACTCTCCAGGAACTTCTCTTCTGGTCCTCRTTTGCCTTGTTCTAGTTCTGAAGCAGTCTGAAAGACCATGACTATGAAACAGCATAGCTTGCTTCATTCCATAACAACACTGATCAAAACTTGGTAACCTTCCTTTTCTCCTTGCCCCCTCACGTGTGCATTCTCTCTTCTATTCAATAATATAGGGATTTCACAGTGTAGAACAGGTAGGCTGCATACATCACAGTGGATTACCAAGAAGCCAGAGAGATCAAGGGATTCATCTCTAACACTCCTGGAAAGCTTCCTATTTTTCACACTACACTAACTATGGCCAAGCACATATCAAATGACATGACAGAGGCTAAGCATCCTTCATGAATGGCAAGCTACCACCAACAGACAAATTCACAGGAGCACTATGATAGCAAGCCCTGGATTTGTACAGGCTTCCTGGCCATTGTAGATCCTGGATAGAATTCAGTAATAGTTGTCCTTGTCCCCAGTGAAATCACTAACCATTTCTAAGGAACATAACATAAAGCACCCCCAACTACTCTGACATTCAATTCTTTAAAGCAAATCTAATCTACACTTAAACCTTAATGTTCTCTATGCTCTAAAGCAGACTTTCCTACACTCAGGACAAATCAAGTCACTTGATAATTTCACTGATTTCCCACTCAATGCCACTATAAATAGGAACAGTGATTGCCAGGCAAGACCTCCTGCTGATCTCATTTCCTAACAGATTTTGCCTAAACATGTCCCCATTGAACAGAAATCCAGAAATATTAGGACAGTCGGGAGGAAACGTCTTAGAGCTGTTAGACATACTCTAGGACATGACATAGATTCAGAGAGATAAGAATTGGTTTTTATTTTGTGTGTTAGTTAATAGCTTAAAATAATTTTTTAAATGTTAGTAAGAACGAGTAATTTTAAGTTAAAAAATTTAGTGAACTGTTGTAATTGATCATGGAATGCTTATTATAGGAAACCAGTTAGTATACTAGAGACATGAAGACTCCATCTGCACTATTAACAAAAAGGAAAAGAATTTTACAAATTCAGCATCATTCCCCAAAATAATATGCTATTATTCCAAACTCAGTGACAAAAAGAAAAAGCACACTAACATTTAAGAACCTTGACTGATACTTTTCCAAAATCCAGGGATGACTATGGTATGTCTATCTTAGCTTTGACCAGTCATAGTGTTTATTCATGGGCTTTCATATTCTGTCCCCAAATATCAATTTTATTCTCTAAGCTCCTGATTTTTCTTCCTAAAGCCCCAGGGTTCTCTTTAAGCTCCTCATACTTCTCCAGTGACTTCAGTTTCCTATCTAAAGTTATTGATTGATATATATCTGCACTCTGCTTGATTTCCTGACATCAATAACACAAGGGAGCTGTATAGTCCACAACATTTCCTAAAGCATTTCAGAAAATCCTAGCTCTTTAGTTTGCAGGGTAGGCTCTCTTGGTTCTCTACAGACTAGTTCAGCAAGGTGAATTGTAAGAGGAGAAACAAAATGTCAAGTGTTAGAGACTTAATAAACAAAAGGGCAATAAAAGCAATCACACATAGGTCTTTGAATTTAGAAAGTCTTTTCCAGAATCTCAAATGTTATCTTCATTATTACAAATGAGTAGGGCTTGAAAACTAGATTATCTTAATTGCTAAAACAAAACAAACAGAAAAGCAAAATGAAATAACATTTTTCATCAGGAAAATTGAGACTTCCTAACATCCTCTGGAATCTTTCTTAGTTATATTAGAATTAATTTTTAGTGAGATATTTTGACTATAATCAGTCATTTTGAGAATGACATCTTGACTGTGAACTAGATCTTTCACTTTACTGCTGTAATCATACTAGGTTTGATCACATGGGTATACTACAGTTGAGATACCAGGCTATTAACTTAGTTGTCTTTCACATAAAAACTTTAATTTCATACATATTAAAAGTCAATTCAAGGGCTGGGACTGTAGCTCAGTGGCAGAGCACCGCATAGAATTTGTGAGGCCCTGGTTTGATCCTTAGCACCACATAAAAATCAAACAATAAAGAAATGCTGTCCATCTACAACTACAAAAAAAAWTTTTTTTAAGTCAATTCAGTTAAATGGAACTACAAACAAAAGAATACTTAATTTTTATTTATTTCCTATTCTTAGAATTAACATAAGATAAAAATAGAAACTTTGGCTCTGCTACAGCATTTTTAATAATAAATCACTATTCTTCAGAAGTGAGATTTCTTGATAATAGAACTTGAATCCATATTTGGTAGAAGCCAAAACCTCAGAGTACAACTGATTATTTTTGATTATTGATTCACTATGTGCACAGAAGAAATTATTAGTTCCTACTTCTACCTATTCATCTGAAGAAAAGCATATGCTCATCCTTAACTATTTCTCAGAGAAACATTAAGAATTCATTATAAGATTTTTTAAAAAAAGGAAAAAAACTTTTGCTGGAACACTTGATAGAGGGATTGAATATTCATCATAATACTTTCTAAATGAAGAGAGACCAAACATCAGCAGTCTAAACCCTTCTAAATAACTCAGATATATTCTATTTCAGTTATTGGTGGCAAACAGATAAAACAGTAAGTCGTTTTCATAATTGTTCCTTTTACTTACATGAAATCTCTGATCCACTTCACAGTTGACCTGCTTTCTAAAATCCTTTCAAGTAAGACAGAAAGAAAAAAAACAATAGAAACCACCAATTAGTAATAACATTTTAAATGAACTGAGTAATGAGTTTAGAAAGCCCTTCCCAGAATCTCAAATGTTTTGTCTAATGTTTATTAAAAATTAAATTTATAGGAAAAGTTATTTCTCTGTATAAGTTCTGTAAATAAGCATATTACTACAATCCCACTTTATTTTAAAAATTGTGGTAAGAGCACAAGAAATACACATACAATTTCCATTTCAATCAATACCTTTTGAGCAACSAGAAAAGTAAGGCGTCGGATTCCATGTTCAACCAAGGTAGCTTTCTATGAAGAAACACATAAAATAAGATAGATGACATCTCCATTCTACCTAAATTTTACCCTGTTCAATCCTTGTAACACTCTGTTTGGGTTAAGCACCCTATTTGATTATTTGTAATCTCAGCTCTGAATCTTCAAACTTGCAAATAAACAGATTTTAACATGGCTCCTGTGGCTAAGTCTTAAGGAATAGGTTTTATATTGATTTGCAAAAAAATTGAAAGAAAACTTTGTGGAAGAGAAAGGGTTATATGAAATCACCTAAGTTCTGTCAGAATTGCTTCACACCAAAGTAAGCCTACAATTCATGTTTTTAGAAATTAAAGTAATTGGTTGTGTATTTAAATGTGAAGATTAATACTACTGATGTATAAGCTAAATGAAATCAAGTAGATGAAAATAAAGAACTTTCTATGAAACAGAAAATAGGTTCTAAACTTTTATTTAGAATATAGATATCACCTACCATTAGATATAGCATTTCTAGAATCTAACAAATCCTAACCTTTCAGTTCTTCTAAAACAATTCCCCCTTACTTTACATGGAGTTATTTCTTGGCATAGGCAAATGGTATATTAGGAGTAAACAAAGACTAGAAATCTCAAGATAGCCTCTTAAGAGAGTCTTGGACCTCTGGAAACTAGCCTCTCTCTATCCTTTACTATTCACTTACCTCAAAAAGCAAAGAAACAGAGTATGAATTAAATGAAAGACATGCTTTTAAGAGTACTAACAACATATAGAAAAAACGATCCCACCAATTGAATGACTTGAGAGAATATATTAATAGTACAAACAGAAAAAAATACATGGCCTTTTACAACCTACATCCAGACTTAAGTTTGATAACATTTCTTGCTATAACTCTAACCAAGAGATATGTTCAAAAGCCAATTATTTTTTTTTAATTTGTTCTAATTAGTTATACATGACAGTAGAATGTGTTTTGACACAAGCCAATTCTTAATTTTCATTTTTTTTTAAATCCAAATTTGCTTCCCCACCTTTTTTTTTAAATCCAAATTTGCTTCCCCTTATAAAGAAGCATGTTTCTGGGACATTTTCTCGCATTTCTCTATTTCTTCTACGGTATTGCTGAGTAATAAATTGACCTTACTAACAGTACAAGCAAAAAATACAGGAAAAATAAATTTTATATATATAAATTCTAATAATAAATTCCTAGGTCAAATGTAAGTTTTGATCCAACTACACTTAAAAAATATTCCATACTATCATCATGCTCCTTAGCATAAATAACCAAATACTGACACTACAATAAGGAAAAAACTGTGTAGAAAGAAAAGGGGTGTGGTGGTAACCAGGAACAGAAGCATTCCTTCTGACACCAACAAAGAATTCCACTATAGTCAGGTCCTTCAAAGGCAAACATCAATAGCTATGTTCTGGCAAGGGAAGAAAATAACTTTAATAATGCCATGATTTAAAATCAAAACTGTTATTGCTTTTAAAATTCCACAAGTGGCTGACAATAACAGCAGAGCAACAGGATTCTGATTACATTGTAATAATGTGGGTCTCACAGCAAGTCCACAGCTATTACCCAGCGATTAGGCGTCAGCACCTGGAGAAACTCCATTTACACTGACTGCTTCAATCTCCTCCACAAGTCATTTACAAATATATGATCCTAATTTCTATGAGAGAAAAAAAGACATGCTGGGACTAGAAGATTATTTGGACAATTTGGATCAACCTATTTGATAGTTTAATGCGTACGTTAAAAAAAAAAACTTTCTAAACTGCTATGAGCATGATCATGAAGTGAAAAACAAAACTAGTTATCACTTCAGCTTTCTTTTCTTAAATTGCTTTTCCTTCCTTTTCTTCTTTCATTTATATTTTTAAATAAGGAGATGAAAATGCCAAATATTTCTAGATAAACACAATACCTGATGCAGTTAATAGCTTCTCTTGGCCTGGAATGTCAGCATAGTCTGACCCTTCTGAATAACCTTAGGCAAAGACTAGATTTCTCTGTGTCACAGCTTATAAGTCAAATAAAGAAAAAAATAATCCCTTATTGCTTATTCATGTTAAATAAATTTGTATATTTTATAACTAAATAAATAAAGACCCTACCTCTTTAAATCTGTGTGATGATATACAATATTTAGATCTGAAGGTGATAAATAATCTAAAGTTGTGGTCAATTATGGAAAAAATCAAATACAGGCACAATCAGTGCTTCAAAATGWGGGAAGAAATTTTCATAGATTTATTTCATGAAGCAGTAGTGGCAGCCACCATATACAACTTTGGATTCTTCCACTAAAGGTCACTGGCCTCACTGGCCTTATGGGGTCACTGACCAAGAACAAGAAGGAAGGTAAATTGTTCTTCTAAAGAAAAATTCCCAGGCATGTCACCTACTTTTCTTTCTCTGAAAGTACCTTTTACTTATGTTGGCCACTGCAATCCTTGATAGCATAGCTAGTCTATGTGCCCTGAGAGTATTATGGAGTAAATGCTGATGCATGTTAATTACAAAGTTTCCAACTTTTCCCTAGGTATCTATCATTAGAATTACATGATTTGAATGCCAGTGGCACTAATTGTTTATACTGCTGAATTAAGTTTTTAAAACATCTATTGAATTTTTTCTCTAAAACAAGCACTGTAGACTAAGTGCTATCCATTCAAAGAGAACACATGGTCTGGCCATTAAAGGCAGTTTTGTATTTGTTTTTTTTTTGCAGTACTGGGGGTTGAATAAGGGCCTCACGCATGCTAGACAAACAGTTTACCACTGAGCTACACCAAATTAAAGGCAGTTTAAGAGGGTGCTTTGGCATTTATGACATACCATAACGAAATGTTAACTGTAGGGAGTGGGATGTATGTAGTTCAGTGGTAGAACATTTGCCTACTATGTGTGAAATTCTAGGTTTAATCCTCAGCACCATACAACAAAATTAACTATAGATTATCRTTTTCAGCATGCCTATCCTGTCCCCTCAATTTCACTATAAGAATCTTTATACATAAAAACCATTCTTATTTATTTATTTATTTATTTTTTAGTTGTAGGTGGACACAATACCTTTTATGAATTTATTTTTATGTGGTGCTGAGGATCAATCCTAGGGTCTCACATGTGCTAGACGAGTGCTCTACCACTGAGCTACCACCCAAGCCCAAATAAAAACTATTCTTATTGCTAATAAATATATGGTAATGAGTAATTCATGGGAGTTACTCAGAGATAATGAGTTACTCAGAAGTCCTCACTAAAGAGGTAAAATTTGAGACAGTTCTTAAGCAGAAGGGAGAAAGGGAGGAAAAAACTTTCTAGGTGAGAGGTGAAGGAAAATGATGAGACTTTAAGTTCAGACTATGGAGTTTATAAATGTGAGATATCAAACTGATATAAATTGAAAGGAGGATGGAAGCATAACTAAGAAAGAAGAGAAAGACAGAGAAGGGATTTGTGTTGTGTTTGGGCTTACACATGTGGAATTAGGAAACAAAAGAGGCTGGGTATGGTGGCACATGCCTATAATCCTAGCTGCTTGGGAGGCTGAGGCAGGAGAATCATGAGTTCAAAGCCAGCATCAGCAAAAAGTTAGGCACTAAGCAACTGGGTTAGATCATGTCTCTAAATAAAATACAAAACAGGGCTGGAGATGAGGCTCAGTGGTCGAGAGCCCCCTGAGTTCAATCCCTGGTACCTGCCCCCAAAAAAATGTACTTAAAAAAAAAAAAAAGACATAAAATATTAAGGAGGGGCTGGGGATGTGGCTCAAGCGGTAGCGCACTCGCCTGGCATGCGGGCGGCCCGGGTTCGATCCTCAGCACCACATACAAACAAAGATGTTGTGTCTGCCGAAAACTAAAAAAATAAATATTAAAATTCTCTCTCTCAAAAAAAAAAATAGAATTCTTAAAAAAAAAATATTAAGGAGGTGACTGGAATTTTAAGACTAGAAAGCTTAAACTTTTAGGAACATAACTTTCCTTAAAAACATTTCAAATATTTGTTGACACAAAAAGATATTCATAGCCATAGCCAGGTGCAATGGTGCACACCTGTAATCCCTGCGGCGTGGGAGCCTGAGGCAGGAGGATAGCGAGTTCAAAGCCAGCCTCAGCAAAAACGAGGTGCTGAGCAACTCAATGAGACCCTGTCTCTAAATAAAATACAAAATAGGACTGCAGATGTGGCTCAATGGCCGAGTGCCCCTGAGTTCAATCCCCAGTTCCCGCCTCCAAATTTCTTTAGAATTTTATCCTTATAGACAGAACTAGCCACAATTCTGATGGTTATGATAAAAGACATAGCCATTATAAATGATAAACCTTACAAGTAGCAACGGATAAAAGGATGGTTTTTGTCAGGCACAGTGTTGCACACTCATAATTCCAGTAAATAATGAGGAGTTTGAGGTCAGTCTTAGCAATTTAGTGCCACTCTATCTTTAAAAAAAAAAAAAAGGTTCAGTGGTAGAACACTTGCCTAGCATGTGCCAGGTCCTAGGTTCAATCCCCATTCTGGTGCGAGGTGGGGGATGCCTTTGACAACCAGCAGGAAGGGCCACCACCAGCTTCGCTTAATCAAGGACTTACATTTTGTTGCGTAAACTCTCTGAACATTGCTGCCAGCCTGTCGTCCTCAATATCACCATCAGTCTTGATAGCCACATTCAGAATGTGAATTGGTTCATCCCTGGGGACCTGGAACCCAAGAACACAAACCAAAGAAAAGATGACACTGGCTAACACAGAAGCAGGAATAAGTTATAGTACCTGGCAGAATAACATAAAAAGAAGTCCACCTCCACAGGTTGTTCTGGTTTTCTAATCAGTAGGAATAAGCAAACAGAAGTACTGCCTAACAGCCACAAAAGAAACTAAATAAAACACATAAAAGATAAGCCAGCAAAGGTATTAGCTTGAATTAGCTTTAACTTGACTTGACATGAACTTGAAGACTACCATGTCTCAACTTTTTCACTACCAAAATGGGAGTTAAACCATTTTATTTGCCACCATTCTTCAATGAATGTGAAGAGAAATGAGTGAAAGAAACCATCTGACCATATTCTCACATAAAATATCTCCTTATGGTTCATCCAACACTGGAAGTACCAAACTATGGGAAAATAATGTTGTAGGTGAAGAACAGAACAATGTGTTCACTAAGAAATGAAAAGAAGAGATTTCATCAAAGTATGAAGTTTTAAACAAATATCTATTTTTCTGCAGTCTAAAAATCTACTATTCCCTGAGGACTATAATAACACCAAGATGAAAAGATACAAACCATAACCGAGTAAAAATTCAGCAATCAAGGTTCAAATCTTTAAAACAACATGCAGAGACTGAGAGGCAGCTGCAATGGATATAGCTGAGTCCATTCTACACTATGGGTTCTAAGATTAATTAGTATTTCTTTAAATTAAGAATTTAGCCAGGCACAGTAATACATGCCAGTAACTGCAGCTACTACAGAGGATGAGGCAGGCGGATTGAAAGTTTGAGGCCAACCTGAAGAACTTAGAGAGATCCTGTCTCAAAAACAAAAAGGGCTGAGGAAGTAGTTCAGTAGTGAGCACCCCTGGGTTCAATCCCCAGTACCACAAAAAAAGGAAAAAAAATTCATGACCTGTTTCCAAAAATATTTCAATGAGGCACATTAAATTAAAAAATGTAAAGTAGGGTTAAAAAGTAAGTTCTTCTCTATCATATCCCAAAGTCAGAAAAACAGTACAAGTCCTGTGTCTCCATATGTTCCAAAGTCAGAAAGATAGTATATAGTACAAGTCCTGTGTCTGAAAGAACAAAGTAGTCTCCCAAAGGGGTTACTCACTATACCTTGTCTTCATCATATAGAGATGTATGGCCTGCCTCTGGGAATGTGGGGCTTTGGGGTGGGGAGTCGGAGAAGCAGCCCATCACGTCATCAAATATTCTGAAAAATACAGAGAAACACCCACCATGAAAATCTGAGTGGCAGAAAACCTAAGTGGCAGGAAACTAATGCTACCATTGGCAGTTCAGTCTAAAAGAATAATCTATGCTGCCCTGTGCTCAATAGTCAACTGAATAGAATCACCAGTGGCTAGAGATGACATGCAAAATTTCACCAAGTGGCAGAAATTAGGAGGATAGATTGTTTAAACTTTAATATACCATATATATTTTTTCTTTTTAAAAAAGAAAGATCTAGTGCTTTTTTTGTTTTGTTTGTTTCGCTATATGTAAGATATGAGCACTGCTGTCATCATCAGTCTTAAAGTAACAGAAAGAGCCTGGGACTGGAGCAGTGACAGACCAATGTAATTACCCCTCCCCCTAGGGTAATGCATCAGTATACATCAAGAGATAGATGCTGAATGCATTTAATCAAAAGATGTATCGTCTCTGGTGGGGCTCACTCTAGTGTTGTGTTTAATTTCTCCTGACATTTCACTCATCACAGAGCAGACAGCTTCTTCTGTTAGCTTCTAAGGAAAAGATGATTTTTGTTTCTTTTTTTTTTTTCTGACCAGGTTCATACTACAAGCAGAGGCTTGTAGAGTCTGAATGAGAGATGGAAATGAAAGGATATATATTTCTCTGAAGGCATATACAATAAGGGTGATACCTCTTTAACTAGTTCATGGCCATTCTGGGGAAGGTGAGACCCCAAAATAGACAGATCCATGGCTCCCCTTATACAAACACAGTTCCACAATATCTTACCTGACAAAATCTTCAAAAGTCCGAAAAGAGACCATTCCACCCATCCGCTGACATGGTGGTGTGAAAGAGTTGTCCAACAGCACATCGCTGACACTAGCTACATGAGTCATGCCATAGTGGTTGAGGTTGGAGGAGAAGGACATTCTAAATGGCAATTCAATCGAGTTCATTAGACAAGGATGGTAGGAATGAGGATTGGGGGGTAACAACAGGGAAAAGAAGATAGGAGAAAACTCTAAGTAGGTTCAGGTTGCAGAGCAGGTATGGTTTTTTGCCCACTATAGACAAGGTTGTTTTGTTAGATTCATGTTTCATTTGAATTTCCCCAAACAAACTAAATTTTCATCATTCAAAGTTTCTTTAAATAGAAATGTTAAGTTGTGTCAGGAATTTCACAGCATGACATGTCTGATGAATGAATACCACATAGGGGTTAAAAACCATCCTGCATCTTCCCCCTCCCCAAACATTCCCTCCATTAAAAGGAAATATGCAAACTGAGTAATTATGCAACACTTAAGGCATTTTTTTCTCTAGGAACTGTGATAGGTTAAGTATTCACAGATGTATAGATAGGTAAACACATGTATATAAAATAAGAATTCTAATKAAGAAGAATAAAATGGTTTAGTAAATCATTACAAAAAAGCATTATTTATGGTATAGAAACAAGTCTGTCTATAAAATGAACTTTACTGAGGTATTTACCTTTTACTTTAATAGGCTGATAGGGATAGTTAGAATTATAGTCCTCTCTTTTTAAAAGAGAGACATTTTTTAACCCCAAATTGCAAAATTTCCTTTTTATATTTAAACAATTCTATACCAAAGCAAAAATATCTTCATTGAGAGCTCTTAATAATTTCCAGCAAGATACGAAAAGCAGAGCATGGGTCTCAAAGTATGTGTAAGCATGACAAATAGTTGCTAAATGAAGATGCTTGAAGAGAACTGAACTGATTTGTTCAATATAAACTGTAATGAATCTGAATATTCCTTGATGCACCTCAGAAGTACGCACTGATAAATAATACTGCAAGGTATTTCTGAATGCCCAGTCAATCAGGACAGCCTGTTAGGAAGGACCAAGCTAATGGATGCCTCCAGGATTTGCCTGAAATGTTACTGACATACTGATCTGAAGCAAGTTCAGAGTGAGGCCATGGCACCTGTACTTTGGGGAACTGCCCAAAAATCTCCTTAAAGTATACCACCTGCAGTGCTGCAGGAGGAAGAAAGCCAGCAACGTGAACTTGAGACCTGGGTATTTACTGCACCCTATTGCAAATCATATTTGTAAAAGGCAATGGAATTCTTTGTAGGATGGAAATGCTGCTCACACACACTATAGAGACTGACACTCCTGGCTTTCATTCCTTTGGTAAATGATGACTACGGAAAGGTATGTCATCTTTTGACAATACTAGGGAATAGAAAGGCAGAGTGGGAGAGGAAACCATGGATACCATGAGTGAAACAAACAAATGAAACACACATCAAGCAAGTCTTACACGTGGCACTCACTAGAAACTGGGATTATGAGCTGTATTAACCCAGAAATGCTATCATTCTGTTCTTTTCTAGGATCACCAAATATATTTACTAAAGGAGCAACTTTCTGAGGTATTTTTCTACCCATGTGGTATTAGACAGAAAAGATATAAGGGTTCCCGATAACATTTAAATGGAACTCCCTCTACAAAATCAACAGGCTGTGTTTGTAGCAAACATAGGGTTAATATCTTTTACCCTAGACTGAACCCCATGGGAAATATATACTATTCAGTTTCCCTTCACTACTATGCTCCTGGGCCAGCACAGCTAAGGGCAGGCAGAATGAACCAAGTCCACTCTCTAAGGGGAGACTGGAGGATCCTATAAAAACATTGCCTTTCTTCTCCACATCTCAACTGAACTCTAAAAGCTATGATCAGTTTTGATTATTTAATATTCTAAAGGGAGAGGTACAAAATAAATGTAAACCTATAATTATTTCCACATCTAACATTATCTACAAAGAGTTCACTGCCTTCGCACTTTGTAGATTCAACTCCAAACAKAACTGCTATTCTCTCAAACTTGCATTGTGTTACCTTGCTTGGCTCGAAAGGCAGGAGGAACACAAAGTAAATACTAAAGTCACTTGTGTTATATTGGCCTGGAAACCTCTTCACAGGGCTGAACATATCAAAACTAAATATATTTTTCCAATGTTCATCTTATTATAGGTTTAAAATTAAAACTTGACTTTCAAATCATTATAAAACTAATATTTCAGAAAATATTAACAAACTCTTAAAACATGAAATCAACTATATCTAGATTTGTACTCTTCTTAAAGGAGGAACAAATTAGAGCAACTAAAAATTGAAAAGTCTGTGAACAATTTGCAGATAGGAGTACCCTTAATGGTTTCTGCTCAAAGTCCCAAATAGACAGAGAACTCAGCAAAAGATGTTTTCAGTAAAGCTGAACATCAGGCAGACAAACTCCCTATCACATACAGTTAAATAGGAGTTTTTCCATACTGATGCGTTCAAGTATTGCTTTTAGAACAGCTGAAGAAAAGCTGAAGACACGTTTTTCAAACAGAAATAGTAATTTAGTCTGTCCAAAGGGGAGCTCAGGACTCTCTAGCAGAAGATAACACATTAACTTGTCAAGTGTAGCATTATTTTTCCTGGTTTCGCTTTCTAAGTTATAAGAAAAAAAAAAGAGAGAGAGAGAGAGAGAGAGAGGTGCTTTTAATTGGAAAAGAAACTAAACATACGGTACCTGTTTAGCGTGGGGATGTTCCCTCTGTAATTAAACAACCACAGTTAGTTACTGATAGGTTAGTGAAAGCCATAATAAAAGAATTGTCAGAGTAGATACAGACCAGTCACAAGGAGCTCCGGTTTGGCAGCTCTAGCATTCAGCAGACATAATTAAGTGCTCATTACCCTTCAACCCCCAGGGTGCCTCCAAAGAGACATGCCTCCTGACCTACCTCTCCACAGCAGCTGTTGAGGAAAGGGTCAAAATGTATTTGCCATGGAGTTTTCAAAATAACTCTATTATAAAACAATTATTCATAGTATTGGTAAAACACAGACTAATGAAAATTAATTCAAGCTATATGATATGGTATGTTGTCTTAAGCTGCAACATGAAATACAATTCTTGACAAGATTCTTAAAGACTCATTTCTTGTTTCTATTATTAAAGGTGTAATAAGAGAAGTTGATTACACAGTTTCTCCTACACCTTAATTGTTTTTCTATAATTTGTAATGGACCTACAAATGCTCTTCTAAAGAAAAGAATCCAGTGATCTAAGTTTCCAGTTTTTCAGTCATATTCTTGCTTCTGTGGGGAGAGGAATGGAGGGTGGTACCCTGTGCCATAGGAGCTTAAACTGAAAATCATGATAAGTGATTCAATCACTAAAGTGGTATAATTGGTTAAAATTAATTAATACTTTTTAATTAAATGAATTTAGGGTAATAATTATTTTTTTTAAATATTAGCTTAAAAACTCTAGGACTCTTCGTAAATAAAACCCTACTGAAAATTGACTAGTCCTAGAACTTTCTCATAAAGAATATGCCAAAATCATCAAAGAAAGACTAGAATAAGAATGGGAAATAAGGCAAGTCTCTTGTGTTCTCTTTGCCACTATTTCTTAAAATCTTAATATCAGTCATTTCCCCAACTGATAAAGAATCAAATAAAAATCCTTATTTTCAATGTTAAATGGGCAAAGTTATACTTACCACCCACAATTTCGGGGCAATAAAAAGTGGTTGATTGGTTGCTATCTTAACCTTACATTCTTTGATCAGCATTTAATCATTGTTGGAGTTTTCTGGCACACAGAGGACTTAATGGGCAGAACATAGTGGGTGGTGCTGATGATATGTGGGAAGGAGGATAGAGGGAGGAAAGTGATGCACTTGCCATGGCAGTGAAAGGAGCAGAACAGACTGAGCTGGCCATATAAATAAAAAGCTGTGACATATCACTGCACACAAACTGTATACCTCATGTGATTTGTGGGTAGCAATGCTCCTTGCATCAAACCTGTTATCACAGAGTGAATTCATAAGAYAGCAAGAGCAAACTCCAAGTACAAAAACCTGAACCTCTCCTACCTGGATTCCTTGAGCTCTCACTCAGGAGAATGGGTCTTATTTTATAAGAAATTCTTAGTCATCATAACACACTGGGCCCTCATAAATACAAGAAAAGTATGCAAAGATTCTAGATGAAAGGGAGGTGTAACTGAACAAAAAACTAAAATTGCAGGTGGTAATGAGACTATAGAAAAGTGTTCCTTTTAAGATGCAAAAGATTCTAAATAATGGGGCTATTTGCACAGTCTCTTACCATGAACCTCAGTTCAGAAAGAACCCTACAACCAAAGCAATTTCAGGGACCATTCATGCAGGTTTCTGGAGTTTAGAAACCAGTAGCATCTCAACTGTTAACCAATTTCTTAAACTAATAAAAAGGTCTTACTGCTTCTATAGCTACACTCTAATTCCTTTGGGAGTCTTCACAGGATGATGGCCAAGTTTTTCTGAGAAAAGGGCCTAAATTGAAAAGAACACCACCACGAAAAAGCCAGCCCTTCTACATCATCAAGTATCCAGCTCTCAGAGGGAGCCCCCTGCTGCTTTGTTATGGGAATTATGCACCTTACACACAGTATGGGGTTAAAAAAAAAAAAGCTACTAAAACGCCTAGTATCTACAATCTTTAAAGGGATGGCCTCCAAATCAATCATGTAAGAGGTAAATTTAGAGCTGGCTTATCCTCTTTGGTAGAATGAAAATTAGTGTGGTCAGAGCAGAGATGACTAGAGAAGGAAGGATAAACTGTTTATATAACAGGTAAATGCTTAACGGTGTCCATATTGCTCACTTATATATTTTATTATCCTACACAGGCAATTTTTTTTCCACCTACACTGGCTCTTTTATCATCTTAACAATATGACAAATTCAGCACACTGCACACTACRGTATTACATCAGAAGGCTAGATCCATAGTTTGTGCAAAGATGAGTAAAATATTCCATTTATGTGGCTAAAAATAAAATAAAATCTACCATGTTTCACAGTATACTCCTCATGCAAAAGTAGCAAAAGTGCTCCATCTCTTATTAGGCAATCAACTATATTTTCAAGTATATAAATGAAATATAAATTCACTTCCCAAATCTGCTATTTGGATTATTTAAAGCACTTATTATGATGAATCTTCTCATGTTTTAAAATATTGCAATCACTTTCCTTCTAGTAAATTAGCTCCATTTTACAGATATGATAACTGAGAAATCAAAGTGAATGCTTTCCAAGGACATGTTCAACATGGTGTCAACAAACCAGCACCTAGACCTGGCATTTTCTCATCCCTGCTCCTGAAGTTAGCATTCCACATCAATTTGGTCTTTAAAGAAGGACAAGAGAAATCCTTTGAATTCTGAGGTTCTTGGCATTAAGTCATCTCTGATTTTATTGATCTGCCTTGCCCAGCATGGCTAGAAAGCCTGCTTCAATATGAATGCAAAGTCGGAGTTGCAGCCTGCTAGCTGAACCTTCTTTAATTTAAGAAACACTGACTTCTCTGGCAGTCACAAGTTCTCTGARCCTTTTTACTATCCCTTCCAACTGAATTTCATTTTGCTTGAGTCTAGCTGGCCCTACATAAATCTTTTATTATATAAAAATGCTCCCTATTCTTTTGCCTTCTAACTTGAAGAAGAAATAAAGAGACCTATATGAAAATGATGAGGATGCATGCAAACAAGCAGTGGTTACATCAAGCTGTGACTGAGAGCCAGTATAGGGCAAATCTTTTGAAATCAGGCAGCAAAGCAGAATCAGAAGAGGTCGGCTGAATAACCTACTAGCAGTCACTAACAGCAGTACCATAGGAGAAAGAGCAATTTGACTGGCTGTGACCAGTGGTGGTCTCCTTGTGTGACTGTATCTGCAGGAGAATCCAAATCAAGAGCTGTAAAACACATCTGAAACACGTATTTCTATTGGCACACCCCCATCCCCATACACACTTGAAGTTCAGATGCCCAGATTCTGCAGCAAAGTATTAGTTTACAATAAAATGATTGTTGCTTCATTCATTTGCAGTCCCTACAAAGCCACCTCTTTGCTCTGCTGGAAGATTTCGCTCTTTCTGAAATAAGCACGCCAACAGGGTTACAGCATATTACGGCTGCCTGCCGTATAATTAGCTACAAACCCACAGCACAAAACTACAGGGATTTACAGGTGCCCTGGATTCTGCTTTTCCTTCCCCCCTGGAATCAGCTAGTCTTCCTTGACAAGAAGGGACCTTGGGCTACCCTAATGATATATTGAGAGTTTTAAACTCAACTCTCCAATCTTACAAGTCTAGAGTGCCAAAATAACACAGCAGAGACTAGAGGCTGAGCCATGGATCCAGGAAAGCACTTTGGTAAGCACTTAAACCTGCTGAGAATCTTCTCTTCTGCCAGATGCTTGCATCTTATCAGCAGACTACCCTGAATCACAGAAGCAAACACTGTAGGACTTTATTTATTTATAGCTCATTCTGCCCAGCTAACTACAACCAAGTGTTCCCACTGCTTAAAAAAAAATAAAAAATTGCTACAAGTTGGATGACTTTTGAGTGTCTTAGTACTATCCAAAGAAGGGTCTAATCTCTGGATGTCAAAGATTATCAGAATTCTCAAGAATGGCAGCAGGCTGCTGATTAGTTATGTGAAAGGCTTCTGATTTCTAACCTTCCTCACAAATGAAAAGAAGGTCCAGAGGCCATCCACCGACAGCTGAACATTGAAAATGCCAGGCAGCCTAAATCCAGCCATGACCAAAATATGTGTTATCAGGGGAGAACACAGCCAACCTCTTCTGGATAAAAGGCAAGAGAAAAGGAAAGTACTTGAATTAAAACATAAAAAAGAAGGCCAAATTCACAAGGAGCAAATAGCAAAGAAGGTACAATGCAATCCAACATAACCAAAGTGTGGATTTCCATCTAAGAAGTGGAAATGAACACCAATAGATCCTTATCCATTATATATGTACAGAAATGTACAACAACATATTCTTCCCATCTCCTGCATCAATTCTGACGTTCCTTATTTGAATCATACATTCAAAGTTTTTTTTTAAATAACCCATGTTTGTTAGTTTGTGTTACACATAAAAATCATTTGGAGTATTAAATTTTTTACTCCCAGACTCTCAAATACACAGAGCCATATGCATAGCCACAGTGTTTATGGGGCAATTTACCTTACATGTTTGTATAAAACAGCTATAKTTTAGAGTACTAAATTCATAGGATGACTGAAATACTTATTTGTTTCCAGATTATTCTGAGGCATTTAATATGCCCAAAGCTAAGTGAAATCCTGAATGTCAAATGATTCAGTAAATTGTCAAAAACAAAGGCATTCAGGATGCTGCCTCAGTGTAACAAGCTTTTGCCTTTCTAGCATCAGTGAGTAATACTAGGGGGGGAAAGACACAACACACCCTGGGCTCTAACCCCTGAGACTCACTATTAAAAGAAAGAGAAAAGGGAGTGTTGAATCATATAATCTAACCTTCAGGATTAATCCATAAAAAACTAGCTGAACTCACTAAAGAGCTGGGCTTATGGAATCTTAGACAAGAGAATTAGGTCCTAGAAGTAGACAAGCTGTCCTGAATGTTCCTGCACCAAGAAAATGACTGAAGAAACTCACATGTCTCCTTAAAGAACAACTGCTAACTAGCTATAAGTCATCTTAAAAAAAAAAAAAAA